GATCCAATGTCAGACTGTGGGTCTTCACTTTCCAGTTAGGTGCTCCAGCTGCTACCCTAACCAGATGCTGGGAGCCATGGGCTATCCTGATGCTAGCAGTCACTGCTTGCTTTCTCTTCTCTTTGAACTGTGGTGGCAACTGCACATCAAACCAAAGAACCAGTAGCGGCTGAGGGTTGATCGGTCTGGTGGGGCAGAAAATAGATCACTGGAGGGGCAACATTGTTCAGAAAAGCTTTCAAAGACCACCCACCCATTCAAGGTTTTTTTAAAGACATAATGTTGTGCAAAAATGTTACAAAACAGTTTATGATTCCTCTAATCTAATAAAAGAATTAGAAGTGATTTCTCTGACCTGGAAAAACTGTAAGTCCTTGTTACAATTTCCCTCGACCAGCCTTCTGAAATCATTGTGCCTTCCAGACATTTATATTGCAACACTCAGAATTCCCCAAACTAACACAAGCATTAGGATCCCTTTTATGATTTCTCTACATTCTATTAAAACCACTTTATAGATTAGGGCTGTGATAAGTTGGGCTTGCCCCTCAGAACTGGAGCAGAAAGAACAGCAGGCAGGCAGGCAGGCAGGCAGGCAGGCAGGCAGGCAAGCAAACACTGTCTTTCTGGCTGGGTTCGTACAATATGGCAAACAACCCCACACTGTTTCCATGGCACATCAATATTTGCCCAAATACACTGGTCAGATGATCACATGGTTACCAGGCGGTGTGAGTCCCATGCTCTCAACTTCATCTTTCCAGCTTTGCCACATGCCAGCAGCCTCCACAAGTGAAATCCCCAACCTTGCCCTATTATTGCCTAAGAACCACAACAGCGTCCTACTAATTGTTCTGTGTGAGATGGGTTCCCCCTTTCTCCTCCCAGGTGTACCTGCATGCTTGAGGTTCTTTCCAGCTGCTCCAGCCCCACAGAGATTTTATTAAATGAAAATAAACAGTTTTGCCACATTTCTCCATTCTCCTGTATATTTTTGCACTCTTTTCTTATATCCAAAAGAAAACAGGGAGATGGACACAATGCTCATACAATGGGAATAAGACAAACAGTGATGCATCTGTTGTTAGGCAGCTGAGAGCAGTAGAGATTGAAGGCTAGAGGAGGCTACTTTCATGACTGCTCTAGCCAGACGACTCTATGGTATTTCTATAACCAACAATGGTAAATTGATAATTCTGGGTGTGGATGACTGAAGAAACCATTGTGAAGCATGGAGACCTTAGAAGGGAACATAGATTCTCTCTGTGGTTATAGAAAACTAATTCTACCACTCAGGAATACCAGAATGGGACCGTGACAACTCCCCTCACACACACTTATTCTCCAATTTTCAAAGTGTTCCTTTGGTTGGCTTGATTTGGTCAACAAACCAGCTGGTAATGTGCCCTGGCTGAATATCCTACATCTAGTAGTCCTCTTCCTTTGCACAAGGAGGGGTCTACTTTGATTGGCCAGTCCAGTCTGAGTGCCTGAGATAACCTTCTTTAAAAAATGGACTTTGAATCGTACAATAGCAGTATTGGGAAGATTTAGTATGGTCAGTTATCAGAAAAAAGAGCCAAAAGCAAGTCTGAATGTGAACACATGTAAAATATTCTACACAATGAGTAATGATGTTTTGGGGTGGGGTGGGAATCATGATGAATCTATATCTTTGTACTTACTGAGAAAAAAATGTTGAGGGAAATGAGTAGGACGATCTTGGAGATTATAAATAATTGCATGCTGGATTAGAACAGAGAACCAGGTTCAAGTTCCCTCTTAGTTGTAATACAAACTTGGTTATCTGGGTTATCTCCCAGCCTCATTTTGCATCTGTGTTCTCTAGTCCTTGAAATCTGAAAATCTATGCTTGTTATTCTGCAAGATGCTACAAGGCTCTTCAGGATTTTATTTATTTTTATTTTTGGCTCCAATAGGCTAGTGCAGCAAGTGCCTGAACTGCAACCCAAAACCCACTTATTTTTCACAAAGTGCCAACACTGCAATAAAATGTGAATACTGAGGATTCAGTTTAGAAAAAACAACTCACAGCCAGTCCAAGCAAAAATCTCTCCCTCCCTCCCTCCCTCCCTCCTTGGTAGCGCACTGATCAGCCATATGAAAGCTCGGACGAATTGTGTCTAATGAGTCATGGCCCGTGACATCATCGCCTGGCACAGCTACTCCTTTCTGAGCATGCGCATGTCCCCTATGTGCGCAGTTATCTGATGCTCGGCTGCTGGGACAAAGCTGGGGTGAGTTGGTTCACCTGCCGGCAGAGAGGGATCTGTGTGCCCACTTGGCACGCATGCCATAGGTTCACCACCACTGGGCTAGTGCGTCCAGTTCCTTGGAATGAGCCTCCTGACAGGGCTGTCATAGCTGCAGATGCTCTTTATCCAAATGTTCAAGGTCTTTGTGGAAGATGTAAGTCCCATTATGCAGACTGCATGTACATTTTTAGCTGATTATCCAGATAATTTAGGAAGGAAGGAAGGAAGGAAGGAAGGAAGGAAGGAAGGAAGGAAGGAAGGAAGGAAGCTTCCTTCTCTTTCTCCTCCTATATTTTTATTTTATACTGATAATTTTAATTTTGTATTTGTAAATCAATGTATTTTTTGTATTTTTATATTTAATGGTAATTTATTATGTACTATTGTATTTCAATGTATTTTATCATGTTGTAAGCAGCCCCGAGGTTTCGGCAAGGGGCGGCATAGAAATGTTTAATAATAATAATAATAATAATAATAATAATAATAAAAGGGTATTCTATCCATCTGAACCTTTGGAAGAAGAAATAATAAGGGAATTATTCAAAGCAGGAGTCTCAAACTCGCAGCCTGCGGGCCAATTGCCAGGATGAGCGGGGCACAGGAGAGGGGCCCTGCGGCCTTCAAAGCGCCGGCGGCACCTGGGCTGGCCTCCGGGAACGATGTGGGATGAGTGGCCCACCACCGCCGCGGTGGTGGAATACTTGATGCGGCCCAGCCTCACCCAGACTCTACTTCCAGCGGCCCCCAGGTAAGCTGAGTTTGAGACCCCTGATTTAAAGGAAGACAACAAGGCATATTGATTTACATTTGATACTGAAATGATTAGAAGACTCTCTGTAAGAGCCTATGGTTTAAAAAAATGCAACAGTAACAATTTTGACATTGCTCAAGCAATTTTAGACTTTTCTCTTTTGAACAAGGTGGCTTCTTTATCAAGAAGGGCTTTTTGGACTCAAACTAAGTTTGTTGAAAAGTGGCTTATATATCAAATTAAAATTTTTCAGGGCAGTATAAAACTGCATTCATTCTTATCAAGCTCTGTATTTGTTTATGTTTCCTATCTTCATTTTATGATAAAATATTCATTAAAATGATGGGCATCTTAAGAACATTAGTACTTCAAAAATGTAGCTAATAAAACCAGGGAGTGCAGGAGAGATGTTTATAAGAAGGGCATTCCTCTAATCTTCAGAGTCAGTCTATTTCCTGTTAAAGGAGATCCTGTTGCAGATCAGGAGAGACCTCTGCCTGAGACCCCAGAAATATGAGGTTGCGGTCCAGCCCTTCCCTGCACCATTAAATGTTTAATTTATTTGCCTGTTGAAGAATGGGATGGCTTCTCAAACTCCCCTGTGTCCTGGCTTAGCCCCTGCCACATCCAATTTCTGTGTGATGTTTCAAACCTAGATCTGCACTCCTTATTTGAAACAAAACATGGTGCTTTCCCTTTAAATCAGAGAAGGAAGTGAAGACCTTTGTTTCCAGCCTCAGGGATCACTTAATTGGCTCCCCAGTAAAAATGCTGTGAGCTTGGTTGCCTGATAATGATTATAAATGACAGGGACTATCAGATTTACCTTGGGACATCTCCAGGGAGTTTGCAGTTAGTTTAGTCTGAACTCTGCGTCAGCTGCTTGGGCTCCTTTCTTCTCAGTATGCGGTGGCTGGACTCAAGCTGCAGTCTTTCAAACCTAATTAGTGTTAGGGGAAGGAAAAACAAAACAAAACCAACCCTCCTTTCCTTTTACCCCTGATCAGTTTTGTAAAACAAGGCTAGAGCTGTATTCAAGATAGGTTACGTATGTACAGGGGGAATTGATCTTACATAAAGACCTTTGGCTGTGCTTGCAGAGTTGGTCTTTAAATTGTAAGGTGCACACTATGGTGCCAGAAAACACACGGGTCTGTTTCAGACAAGCATTTTTCAGTTCATCAGTCTGAGATATGTGCAGGCCTTTTGCTCACACATACTAGCCTATTGCTTCTCTATTCTCCACAAACTGTGATTGAACCAGGAAACTTCTCATTAACCACAATTACCTGTTCCATCTGGCCTGGGAAACTGTGCTTTCTAGCTTTGGAACCTGCCAGGATATTAAGCCAATTCAGTCCAGATGAAATGAGAAACTGTGGTTAGGTACAGGCTTTATGGTTGGATCACAACTCCTGATGAGGGGAAGAGTGAATGGCTGGAATAGTGCTGCATGTGTGGACACCATGTTCGTGCATGTATCAACATAATAATCTGAAATACGATTGACTGCAGCCATGGTAGCAAGTAAACTTGAAATGTCATTTATCAGGGACTTTCAACAGGTTGCTAATATGAATTTCTAGAGCAATTCTCTCCCCCCCCCCTCTCTCTCTCTCACACACACACACACACAAAGGGTGCAGGGCACTCCCCACTTCCCTGAACACTAGCAGTTAATGCATTGGCCATGTTCCCGATGGTTTCCAGCTATAAGAATAAGTCAAAATATGTCTTGAGATTCTGTGCTTTCCTTCTCCATACCAAATTACAAGACTTGAAAGCATTTGACTTAAAGTAACATTGTAAAAGCTGCCCCCCAATGCTGAAAAACTTAAGAGCCTTTCAGGGCAGGCTATTCATGGACCTGAATCCTAGCCAGGGTGGGGAGTGGGAAAGGGAGTAGGAGAAGAAATGGTTGCAGAAATTTCATAAAGCATAAAGTCTTTATTTTAAGGAGATTTTGGCTTTTATTGTAGAACCACTGTATCTTCTGCTTTCAATGCACCCTTTTGTCTGATTGGTGGAATGCACTTGATAACCTCTGTCAGGTCATTGGATAAGATGTTGAATGGAACAAGGCAAAAGAGATGATCAGAACTGAAGATCTCAAAATTGGTAGGTGGCCGAACAATCACATACCTGTTTCGCGGAAAAGTCAGCAATATCAGAATACAAAAAGCAACTCTCTCTCTCTCACTGTGTGTGTATGTGTTAATTAAGGGGTCTTAATTAAGGGGTCTTGAGTGTGTCAGTGAACACTCATGCAAAAGGTTAACAAGGAAAGGCTTCTCCTGTGCATTGCTAGCATCTCATTCTGGCTACTGTCATCAGCAACATAAGTTACCTAATTTACTGAACCTCTTGGAAAGGACCACTATTCTTATGAGATGTCTGAGATGGAAGCACTTTGGTTGGGTGGTAGTGTCATGCTTTATCAGTGTCAGAGACATCTGGGGTCATGATGTCAGCCAGTGATGCTGGCAGAGAAAAATAAATTCCACACAGATATATGTGCTTAGCTTAGATGGACACATCTTGTCAGAACTGTGACAGTTTCAAAGTCAAGAAAATAGTAAAGAACATTGCTGCTGGTGCAAACCAAAGGTGGCAGCAGGGTAGCTCATGTAATTTTTATGCAGGAGGTAACAGGTTCAAACCAGGCAGAGTTAGGGAACACTGCATCTTAAATATGGGAAGTTTCTGATACTGTAGGAAATGCTGGGCCATACATTGCTAGATTTGCTATAAGAAAGGTTCCTATTGCTAGGTAGTCCAGCAGATGCTTTCCTTTGATGGTCAGCTAGATGCCTCTACGAAAGCATCAGGTTGCCCTCTCCTTCTGTTTCTCCCCAGTAATACACTGTTCCTGAACATGGGGGTTCTTTGTAGATACAATGGTTAAGGATCTTTGAGAGATATTACTTTGTTTTATGCTCTTTCAAGTGGCCAGTGACTATCACCAATCATCATGGCCATGAATTCCACCTATTCATTTTAATAATATGATCTATGGGTTTGTTGGCATAAGGTATGCCATATGGCTGCTGGCTGAGAAGAAGGAAAAACACATTTTGGGGGGTAAAGAACAGGCAAGCGTGACTTATCAAAATCTGAGCTTGCTAAAGTTTTCCAAATTTCACTTCAAAGCATGTCTTGAGCATCTTCATTCTGAACCAGATTGCAAGCTTTTATTTTTGCATGAAAATATGTGTTTTTTTATGCTTGCTACCCCAAAAGGGTATATGCAATTATTGTCGTTTTTTGAAATATATACATTGAACTAGATGCCAGGAAGAATGTCCTCACTGTCAGAGCAATATGACAATGGAACCTGTTACCTGCGGAAGTTCTGGGCACTCCCTTGCTGGAAACAAGAAAGCATCTGGACAATCATCTGTGTGGGCTGGTGTAAATTGGTGTCCGGCAACAGCAGGGGGTTGGACCTCATGGCCTTCTGGTCCTTTCCAACTCTACTGTTCTATGATTCTATGATTTTCCTATTATATTTTTTTTCAAAAGTATGTATTGCTTTATGCAATGTTTCCCAAATGAATGCATTTTAACATTTTTCCCCATTGAATTGAATTGCTAGTTTGGGAAATGTGAGGATTTTGACCACAAATGGCATTGGGGCCTCTGTCTGTCTCCAGGTCCTGCAAATTGGGTAAATTTCCGTCCTTTTTTTCTTTTTCCATGGGTATCTAGTAAGCTTACGCCTCCAAATAGTTTTTGTATAATGGTCCCTTTCAAAAGCTCCATGCATGCATGAACTTCCCTTTGACACAGAATATATAATTGGGATCAGTCTTAACTTGTATAGATAGCAATACTAGTTGTTGTTTTAATTGATCCAATCATAGCCTTTGCATAAATGAGGACATTCCAACTACGTTATACTTTCCTATTTTCATAAGGGTTGGGATCATCTTTCAGGCGATAGAGACCAAAGCAAAGGATGCCGAGTATGTCCAGTGCTGTAGTGTACACATCCCCAAAGGAGACCTGCAAAGAAAGGTAAAAATAAAATATTGACTTTATCTATGGCAAATGTCCTTGATAAGCAGAATGTTCCCAAAATACTGGTTGGAGACTATGATTAAAGCAGATGCTTTTAACTATTTTCTCCCTTGGTAAAGCAGGAAGCCAGAGTTGTTTCTGAAACGCTTCTTATCCAAAATGCCTTTTCAGATTCTAGAAATTTTTTTAAAGTGGAACTAATGCTTTAGGATGGCTCCACTGTACTGCTTTTTGCACGTGTATGGTTAGGCGACCTGCATTTTCTTAATGGTGCTTCTCGATCTTTAAGATGCTTGCATCCATGGAGTCTAGGTGTGTGGAGAAATTTGTAGAAGGCAGAACTTCAGCTACATTTTTGGGGGTGGGAAAAGTTTATATCCCCACCTGCCCCTTCTAGCCCAGAAAAAAGAGCACCCATAAGCAAAGGGGATTAACAGATCTAACAGCAGTTGCTGGTTTTGCTGCATTTTCTCTTTGAGCAAAGCTGTCTATGAGTGGCAAAGGCAGAAAGAATTGGTGATGGAAGGAGAAACCACAGCGAGGCCCACTGAGGGCATCTTGCGTAAAGGCCTTCCAAAACATGGACCGCTTTCTCCTTCCTAATCCTAATCAAGTGCACAGTTTCAATTGTAGCACATTCTCACCTGTGATTGTCTGCTCATAATTAGGAATGGTATATCTGTCAATTTTGGTTTCTTTCAGTTTTTCCAGTGTTATGTTCAATTATTTTCCAACTTTGAGAATTTATCAATTCTTAAACCCATTTAATCCCAAACTTTGAGAATTTCTTTTAAAAGTTTCATGAAAACCTGTAGTCATTTCCATGCGTTTTCCCAAATTAGATTTCTTCCCCTTGCCTTTTTGCCTTATATACACATGTTTGCAGCCAATTGTCCTAATACAATGCAAGTTAATGTTATTTACTATAATGGTCACATTTTTTATGACTTTGTTGTGACTGGAGAACTCCTATGCCACAGTCAGTGAACTGCAAATTTTGAATGACAACTGAAATTCAGTTTACCTGTTGGTTTGAAACGATAATATTAAATCCATAAAAAATGAAAACTAAATGAAGTTTTCTCTCACCTTTGCTTATCCCTCATTGACCTGAGGTAAACATCATGTGTCGGTTCCAGTGGACCTTTCTAAATGAGGGCTGATAGGAATGCTGCTCTTAAAAACAGCCCAACAAGCTCATGTGCAGGATTCAGAGTGATATGAAGTTGCTTCAGTCAGGAGCGCGTTAAAGAGATGCCTTCCTGCAACACTTTAAGCCACCATCAATGGGCCAAAAGGGATCACTTGAACAAAATGAGATGGTGCTTGACACAACTTACCAGTAGTCCTTCTATTGAAACTGAACTGTCCGCCAGTGCTAAAAGGGCCAGCTTACATCTGTTCCTGGGCCCAACATGCACCACATTGCTAGAACTTCCAGACAATAAAGTCTCCTCTGCTAAAAGCTCTTCCAGTTCTGGACTGGTCCCACCAGTCACTAGAGTCTGGAGTAAAGCCAACACATGGTGATTATGATAGGTCTGCAAAGGAAAGGTAAAAACACGGAGAATGATATTAATTGCTATGTGATGAGGAGGATGGAAGCAAAATCGGGTGATCTGCCAGCTGCGCCCCTACTTGGAGAACGACTGCCCGGTGACAGTGACACGCGCGTTGGTGACTTTCCGACTTGACTTCTGTAACGAGCTCTACGTGGGGCTGCCCTTGAAGATGGTCCGAATAATTCAATTGGTTCAAAATAGAGCTGCCAGGCTGCTGATGGGGACTGGGCGTTATGTTCACATGACTCCAGTTCTCCGTCAGCTTCACTGGCTCCCCAATGAAGTCCAGTCCCATTTCAAGGTGTTGGTTAGGACCTATAAAGCCCTTAACGGCTTGGGTCCTGGTTACCTGAAGGAGCGCTTACATCCATATATGCCCGTCCACCCCTTGAGATCAGCGGGAGAAGCCCTTCTCCGGGAACCCTCCATGAAGGACATTAGGAGGGTAAGTACTCAGAGGAGGGCTTTCTCTGTCGTGGCGCCCAATTTATGGAATGCGCTCCCCAGAGAGGTCCACCTGGCACCGTCATTATTTGTTTTTCGGTGCCAGGCGAAGACCTTTATATTCAAACATTATTTTAATTGTTAATATTATTTATTTATTTTACTCTTTGGCCAGGGCGACTTAAATTATACTGTTTTATATTGTGTTTATTTATTTATGATTGTGAGCCACCCCGAGGCTTCGGCAAATGGGGCAGCATAGAAGTTCTCTAAATAAATAAATAAATAAATAAATAAATAAAATTCTATTACATCAGCATTAAATTATTGTGGCCCTCCTGCAAATATTCTAGAATGATGGATTTCAAACTTCAGCTGTCAATCCTTTTCTCATTGATCCGTTTACTAAAATACTTGTACATATGCATAGAACCATAAATGAATGGAACAAAAAATGCCTGCTCATCCATAGAACATACATATTTCAAGCTAATGGGTTGTATCCAGTTTCTGTCACTCCACTGATGGAATACATTTTCATCCAGATCTGTCAGAAAACAGAGAAATCTGACATGCATTCTCAGAAACTAACATAGTTGAGATACAGTTTGGGCTTCTTGTGTCACAGTCTCACCTAGTGAAAGTGAAAATGCACCTTAGAATATCTTAATGTATTTTTACAATATGGCACAACAGGAGAAGATGGGTGATAATGGACAACCTATCTAGTGGACAACCTGACAGTAACTTCTCCAGCAAAGTGGAATGAAAAGCCTCAAATACGTTTGGAGAAAATAACAGAATTAATTCAAAAGCAGTTTGAGCACTGCTCTAGAAAATAACCCAGATGCGATCTCCAGGATTTTGGAGATGAAGCATTTTCTTCCAAAAGTATACAGCATGAAATCAAAGTATGGCTGGTCTGAAACTGAGTTCTCTAATTCCATATTCAGAGATGTATAAGAACTTTTGAAAAAGGTCCACTTCTCCCATTCAAACAGATTTTTAAGAAGCTGTAAATGGGAATGAGAGAACTTGGAAGTAAACTTGGGTGAAGTGAAAGGAAACTGAGCATCCCTGGATCTGACACCACTGGCTGAGAAAGAACAAAGAAAAACAGAAGGGAGGTGGGGAATACTATTGTCTCTAAATTACTGTTGTATCATGGTGGTGATGAAGTTATAACCATTATGCATTATTTCTTTTGTTATGGGAAGTGATCCAGTCTTTTCCGCAGTTGTTTAGGAATCCATGGCTACTGGTCAAGGTTTGCTTTGCTTTGCTTTGCTTTGCTTTGCTTTGCTTTGCTTTGCTTTGCTTTCAGAGAAACTTATCACTTGCTAATGAGAGTAAGCATGGCACACAGACTGCAATCATTTTTGTCTTTATCTGTGAGCATATAAGGTATATCAGTGAATCATACTTCAATATTGCCAGTCCCTTCAGCCTTTCTGAGGAGAGAGTTATCCAAAGTTATCCTGTGCTCCAGGCCTGGCTTATCTTTCTTAGAGGGAATCAGCATTTTACATACTTAGCTCCATGGTGCTGAGCTCTTTAACATATCATCCTTGCATTTTTTTTAACATCAAAAGGATTACATTTACATACCTGGATGAAATAATAGGATTTGTATGTGACCTGCATTTTACACTTTATTTGCTGAGTTATACACTATTGGGAGTTAGCAGTATGAGAAGAAAGACACCCAAAGAGAGATATGTTTGTGTAAAAATGGTACTGCAATATATGCAGGGTTTTCATACATTGAGCATAGAGGCCCCAGGCTTATGGAAAAGGAATCACATTCTTTGAGGAAGGTTAATATTGACTTGGGTTAGAGAAAAGCTATTTATTTTGACCTGACTGGTATATATTTACAATGCACTGTGCATGTTGCTGAAATATGTCGGCAGAGGGGGCGGGCACACAAATAAATCTTGATACAATTCTATGTATGTTTGCCTCAAGATTTCTTTTGTCCAGAATTTTACCAACACTCAGGAAATGCATGCCATGCATGAACAGTACATTAAAACAACAAGCAAACAAGCAAAACCCCTTTCAAATGCTTTCAGGCAGTGGGTAGACAGTGTGAATGTGAGATTTAATAATGCTGATTGTAGAAGGAAAAATGCAAATGCAGTAAAATAGAAAGTTGTGGCAATAAGCAGATACTTTAATTCTGGAATTAATTTTAGAACTTCTTAAAAAGCAAAAGCCAGAAGGAGTAGAATATAGGACAAAGAGAAATTCTCTAACAATAAAGCAATGGAATGAATGACCATACCTAATGTTAAATTTATCTGAACTCATGTCAGTTCTATCATATTATCTTATTTGGAATGATTGGGATGACATTAGTACATTTTATTTTGAATTTTTAGTGTTCAGCATTTAGTGTTCGTCCAACTCTTTTGCATGATGCACTCTGGTATTAACAGATGTTGGAGTTTATGTTTAAGTAGAGTTGAGCTGATATGCTCTTTTTCCCTGGTGCCTGGAGCTGTTCTAGTAAATATGAACATTAATGCATTTTCAGATTTAACACTTGAAACACACACATACCTATACACCACAGTTTTTTACAACCTATAGTGAAAAAGGATAATGATATTTCAGTAAACATGGGGTAAATATTACGATGAAGCAAGCTAGATGCAAGTTAATACATTGCAAGTAAAAAACAATATCTATTATTAGAAGGCCAAAATGGAACCAATAAAAATAAAGGTAATCAAAGTACTAGTTATAGTTTCGGTGTACTCCAAGGGTTCATAGCAGCTTTCCTTGAATGCAGTTTGGAGTCGAATTAAAGTACTGATGACATCTTAAACATGCTCAATTCACGCACATACACAAGTGAAAGATGAGCATCCTACAGAAACCTTAGTCACATCCACTTATTTCCTCCAGTGTGGGAGAAGCTGGGGGCATCACTGAGTCAGTGTGAAAGTCCTCACCTTGCATAAGTCTCTTTCCAGAAGAGACCCAGACCTGAGTCCAGTTCTGAAAGTTAATTCAGCCTCAACAGGAACCCTTTGTATAGATGTGAGCATGCGCTAGATAAGGAGTTGGTGGTTATTATGCACTGCATTTATATCCTGCTTTTTTCCCACTTGTGAGGAACCCAAGGAGACTAACATAGACCCCCCACATGACATTATTCTCATAAAAACAACCCTGTGAGGTACGTTAGGCTGAGAGTTTGTGACTGGCCCATGGTCACCAATGAGCTTCTTAGCCGAATGGGTTCTAGAACCCCGATCTCCCAGGATCCCAGTCCAATACTGAGACACCACTTCACACTGGGTGTATGTTCTTTGTTTATTAGTTTGAGACGATATGAGACACATACTTCATTTAGTTAGATTGTTCAGCTTTCTTGGTTTGATAGGAGATATATGATTTATAAATATGTCATACAAACTGTATATGAAAATTGATGAGCCGTTTGCATTTCAGCATAGTAAAAGACCCAACTGGTACATTTATGAAGTACTTACTGTGCACAACAAAGAATCCAAGAAACTGTCAGAAAATATGGTTCCTCTAGAAAAATTCTGTGAGACATTTTGGTTGAAATATTCACAGTCATCTGCACCGCTCCTTTGTTCAAAGAACTGGGCATTTGAAGCTATCTCTGTTAGAGGCCAAAAGACAAACAAGCAAGGAAACAAGATCAGCTACTTGCAAACATCAGGGGTGCCGAAAATCCAGGGAAATGAACAGGAATGAAACTCTGTGATTCCCATTGCTGTAAACAGCATTTCCAATTTTATTCTTTTCAGACTGGACTACAACTTCCATCATAGCTTGCCTGCATGATGGGAAAAGCTTCAATAACAGAATGAAATCTCTCTCTCTCTCTCTCTCTCTCTCTCTCTCTCTCTCTCTCTCTCTCTCCGTGTGCGCGTGCACAAGGCCAAATTGTTTACTGAGGCTAGGAATGAAGATCAATCAATAAATGATTTCTATGGCAATAGGTGATGGTGAATAAGAAGAAGCTAGGCACCTATATATTAGGTACACATATCTATGTCTATGATGTATCACCTCTCGTCTGTCATCTAACGTGATCTCTCTAGACCTTTGTCTGCGGTGTCATGCTAGTCTTCTTGTCCACTTTGTATTGCCATTATAAATCTCTTTCCCCACACACAGTTGTTGCCAAAGAACTTATGGGTTTCATTCTCCACTTTCTGGAGACAAAGTGGCGGAAGTGAAAATGACAAGCAACAAAATGGCAGCTGAAATTGACAAGTTCTTTGGCAGGTATGGAATATGCCACTACTGGACCGAACAATCTCAGTTGCACAAATTTAAAGACCTGCACTACAATCACCTATGATCCCATTTGCACAAAGCACACAACCCCTGCCTAAATATCCATTTGATTAACATTGCAAACATTTCTGGAATTGGGGAAAATGTGCTGCAGTCCACCACTGCTTATTAGAATGGAAACACTGTAAAATCACGGGACATAAATGTGATGGATTCCCAGGGTTGTGCATTTCTTCTGTATAACAATTGGTTCCCTTGATTGATTTTACACTAAGGGAGAAGACAAGTTGTCAGTAGGGCTTCACAACAGGGCTGAGTACAAAGAACAGCAGTGGTGTTGGAACCAGAGAGACTAAAACTTACTGAAAAAACTATGCTCTGATCTGCTGAGCAGATGCTAAGTCTTCAAATTTTTGCAATGAGATTTTTTATGCACAGAGTCTACTCATATTTGCCCTGTTTACTGGCTTGAGATATCCCCAAGAGTCTTCTGAGATCTCCAAATCCAAACTTCATCCATTCCAAAGTCTTACGAACAGAAACCTGTGAGAAGATAGTAGCCTGGCGGGTCTCTGAGTGCCAGAAATGACGTTTTCTCAAAAGGTGACACTTGACAAGGTGGGCTTGTGATGTTCCATGCTTATTTATAAGTCTAGTCAAATGTAAAGAGATTTTGGTTCATCATTAACATGTTCATTGATTCCAAACATGAGGCTATTTTTTCCAACCTGCCAGATGTGGTGACCACACATTTTCTCTAGCGTTGCTCTGAGGAATCAAAGAAAGGTCTATGGAAGACCCAAGAATATGTTCATGCGTTGCAGCACGAGAACTTTCAGAAAGCCTTTGGAAACATCTGTGTGGATGTGCATGGGGAGCAGGGGACAGCCTTGCCAAGATGCTTAAGTTTTGTTTTAGTTCCATGCTGGGCCTTTGTAATACTTTGTTATATTTATTCTCCTGATAAGCCATCCAGACATCTTCAAAGCCACTGAATTACCATTTAAGTCAAACCTTTTAATGTGCTTTGGACACGGCATGCTGTCACTTTCTGCCTTTGAATTTTAAAGAGGACTGGGAGTCCATAAATAATGCAGCAGACTTATTCCTTTGCTGAAATTTGTCTCCAAAGAACTTACTCAGTTCAGTGATGATGGGGATCCTTTTGGAAAAAATGGGCATTGATTGATTCCCCATTGTATCTTGAGAGGGTTTATCTGTAGACACTTTTGATGACACTGTGGGGAAAAGACAGGGGGAAAAAAAGATAAAGTCAAGAATAAACAGAACAGCTTTTGAGTCTGTCAAAAAGCACTTAACTGGATATTATTGTTATGCAAAATAATAGTAACAATGCATGTATTTTTGTCTCATTTTTTTGTTCCAAGCTGTTTATTGACCCCGCAGTACTGCCAATGTCCCTATACATCAGCTGAAACATGTTCACTGTGCATGTTTAAGAAAACTGAGCCAAATCTTACTTCCCAGATTGATGTGCGGATTGGAATATAGTTACCTTTCAGACGGTGCACTGCTCCAAATCTTGCAGTCTAGTTTTTAGCTCCGAAAGTGCATACACAGATATGTATTTTAGGGGAACGTGCATTTCAGGAAAAATGGTGCACCTGTGTTCATTTGCGGGAAAGTAGTGTTCCTTCCTGGGCCACAGCGTCCTCCCACTGACTGGGGATCTTGGAGAAGAGGTAGCCTATACTTTGGCTCCACCGTCCCCTTAGCCTTGCTCCCTCTGCATGGACACCCTCCATGTGTGACAGCATGGCATTGTTCAGCTCCCTTGATACACTGTCCTTATCAGGAGGCGAGTCTTTGTTTTGCCTCATTGTCAAACCTTCGTATTGCTTACCACTGCTGGGTAGTGTGAGCACCGAAGGAGGTGATCAATGGTGAGGTGCTGAGGGTGGCTGGAAGGTGGTGGCCTTTGAACGAAACAGCCTCTCGTTGCTGCATGCAAGGCCAGGCTTCTTCATTCTCCGCCAGCAATGGGCTGCAGCACTCTTGGGGCCCTTGGTGTGCCTTCGTGTGGAATGGCTGATGGAGCACCAGGAACACCAACCAAGGGGCCAGCACTTGGCGTCACGGTGGGCCAAGTGGTCAATACTTAAGCCAGGGCAGTGTTGCCCACGGAAGAAACAACAGTCTTTGGAAACTAAAGTATCCTGGATTTGACAGGTGGTCCCATGCAGCCTGTGGTCATTTGTCAGTCTGAAGATGCCAGTGTTGCTCATACATTTCAGTTTCTTTTAGCACAAACAGTTGTCATGAGCTGTCACACTGGGGTTGGAATGGGATGGGCGAAATGCCTACTGAAAAAATATGCCATGGGACAATGCATACAGTTAAAGTGCCAATGTTTGCGATTAGTTATTTGTAGAATATAGTATGGAATTAATTTATGATTAAACAGATGCAAGAAGATAAAGAGGGGGAATAAATTGTGCCATTCATCCTTAATCAGCCATCCTAGATGCAAAATGACCCAAACCTCCACATTATATAGTTCCCTTCCCCTGATGGCTTTTGGAAATGGTACAGGCAGATCTCTTTCGTGTAGTCTACACTTCAGCTGGCTAGTTTTCTTTGCTGCTGTAAATTTTTTCCAATGCCAGGTTTATTCTGTTTGATTTGTTTTACATCTGTTTATATTCACATAGAGAAAGGCAGTCAAGATATAGGTTTACCTATCAATTTAACAATCAATCAATCTATCTATTTATGAACCCGTTAATCATTCACTGAGGCTCAAAAGCAGTTGATATCATGAGCAATTGCTTCCTGTTGCCCACCCAGAAAAAGTAAGATGGTTAGGATCAGAATGTTGCCACAGAATATGTATAGGAGCTAACTTCCTTCAGAAATGTTTAGAGATGGGCTAAGAAGCAATGCTTAAGATCACTAGGATTTCTGAACAACATTTCACCACTTGTCTCATAGCTGATTCCTGATTCCAACAGGACAACCTGTGTTGCTGAGGCAGCATGGCAAGGAAGGAGACATGGCAAGTTATAGGGGGCATTGCAAGAGGCCGTGAGAACCAGGAGCAGGAAAGCTCAGGCAGGATGCAGACAGAACGTCAAGCAGGAGGCCCTGTGCTGCAAAGGCAACACAACAAAGCAGACAACAGGGAAGATTCAGGAGATAGGAGTGGTCTGGCAAGGTGCAGGGCCTACGCCTTGGTCATCACTTCCACTCCAATTGGAAAAGGAAATTCTTTGAAAACCTGGATCCTGGCAATAGACTAAATTATATGAAATCCAGGGCAGGAGAGCAGTGCAAATGAAATTGATCTGCACAACCACTTCTGATTGTTGATGATGTCATAAAGTCCCCAACTCGATACAGTAAACAACACAAGAACTGAATTCCTCTCTTTGTATTTCAAATCCAGGAAAGCATTTGCCACATTTCATTCTTCCTCCAATATGTTAATGAAGAAAACAAGGGCATACTACCAAGGTGGTAATAAATTGGATTAAAACCTGAATTGCCTGTATAAGCAGGAATGTGGGTGGTATTAAATAGGTTGGTGGAACATTTATGCCACAAGATAAAGGAATTAAAAGAACAGATTTCTGGAGCACAGAGAGACGAATGCAATCCTACAGGATACAAGAGGAATGTCTATGCAGCAGTTAATCCAATTTATATGTCAATGAAGCCTTTAATAGTCACTCAGCAAACTGTGAAAACAGACCAAGACAACAGAAGTGTTTTAGGCAGGTTGTAACATGCTTCTGACTAGACAATGAAATCCTTGGAGTCTTAGTGAGCAGATCCAGACTACTCAGTGATAGAATATTATCAATTAAGTATCCTAAAACTCAGATTAGGTGTTTCAGTAGCTTTACTTTAGTTAAGTCAGACTGTCCAGATAGCTGACCAAGCACCATAGTCTAATGGAAAGGTGGAATTTGACTCCTTGAGCCAATAGTTTACTTCCATGAATAGAAGAACCTGGCTTTTCAGCAAAGCCTTTGATGTAGAGGGAAGGCTCTGCTAATAAAAGAGCAAATAGGATTCTGGAAGACCCTTTCTGGCCTCTCCAGCCCCTTGTATGACCTCCTTTGTCCTGGTGAGTTCTACAACCTTCTGAAGTTGAAAGTTAAACTTTCTCAGCATGCAGTTTAATAGGGGTAGGTGAGAAACCTCCAGATAATTCTTCAGAAAACATGATGATTCTGGCCAGGCAGAATACTTTGCTTTATGTTCACACTGAGCTTGATTAAAATGATTATGCAGCACTGTGAACATGCCCCTGTGAAATGTTCTATTAGATAACAAATCTCTTAAGATTTCTTAATATGTTTGCTTTTTATTCATCATGTTAAAGAAAGAAAGAAAGAGAGAGAGAGAGAGAGAGAGAGAGAGAGAGAGAGAGAGAGAGAGAGAGAGAGAGAGAGAGAGGAAGGAAGGAAGGAAGGAAGGAAGGAAGGAAGGAAGGAAGGAAGGAAGGAAGGAAGGAAGGAAGGAGAGGAACCGCTTGGCTTCCAGTACATCATTAGGGAATTTTCTGTGATCACTCTACCATCTGAGAAGGAAGAAGGAACCATTCTTTCCTTGAGAAATGGGAGTGTATATCCAGGAGGAGGGCACGCGCAGCAACACACATCAAATGTAGTGATCACATGTACACATATACATGTAGATATATGTAATGTCTCAGCTACATTTTAGGAACAAGAACAGATCATTAGGAGTATGGGGCAACTATTCTAGTGATTGTGCCATATTCACATTCCTACATCTCCAGATAAAAGGATCAAGAGAGCAGTGCTGGGAAATATTCTGCCTGAAGTCACCCTGCCTGGAAGTCCAGTGGCAGTCATAGGAGATGATTGATAATGGATAGGTTAGAACAGCCTTCTCCAGCCTTGTGCCTTCTGGACACATTTGGACTGCAACCCAGTCAATGGCCCTGCTGAATGGGATTCTGGGAGATGCAGTCCAAATGCCTCTGAAGCTCACCAGGTTGGGGAAGGCTGGGTTAGAGTTAGATAGGTAATACTGGAGAAGGCCCATAGCCCAGTAGTGTCTTGCTATGGTTGGATCAGGCCCAGCACAGGGGAAATGGAAGTGCAATCCAAAGGCCGGACAATAAACAAAGGTCATGCACAGAGACAGACATGCCAGGCAAGGCTCCAGGTTATTGCCAATAAACAGGTCACAGTCAAAGGTATTGTTTTTCTACACAAAAAAAAAAGTATGAGAAGGAGACAAGGACTGAACACAAATAAAGCACGGACCAAAGAACAGAGTCAAGCAGAAGTCTAAGAGTTAGCATTCCAAATGTACAGGTTTGGGGAAAGGTCAAAGGAACGAAGCACACCTAGGCTCAGGTGGACTATCAGGCAGAAGGCTGGCAAATTCTGGAACTCCCCCTCCCTTCTCCATCGCGGAAGGTTCACTGTCAAAGCTGGAGAGGTGCCACAAAGAGGGTTAGAGTTACTCTTTCCACACAAGCAGAAGAGTTATCTGGGAAGACTGGCCAGTTCACCAGACTACAAGAAGCTTGGCTGGGTCTCATGGGACCTGAGAGGATGCTTCCTGTAGCTGCACGAAGCAGCAAGAAAGAGGGCACATGTGTGTGTGTGTGTGTGTGTGTGTGGTGGGTGGTAATAGGAAGGACATGTAGTGGTTACACAGCTTTTTTGCTTTAGGAAGCAAGAGAGCCTGTGCTAAGCCTGGTCTCATCGGAAGGGTTTGTAGCCCAAATAATCTGGGGCCCAAGCAGGCTTCAGAAACCTTCTGGCACGTGTCCTACTTATGAAGAGGATCTTGCTTCCAACAGACCTCCAATATAGAGGAGCCCAACTATTACTGTTCTCGAGGAATGTGCTTCAGCTTTACATGGCAACCCTCTGTAGCTGGTCTACCCAAAGGCTGAGTGGGGAACCGAGGTTCCTGCCCTGCAGCCATAGCTGAGTTACGGTCCTCAGAGATTTTGTTTGAAGGTCTCTCAGAGTCTGGGACCACAGAAGGGGCTGAAACAGAGTAATCAGTAATCACCCCTTTATTGATGCCAGGTGTACTTGTGTGTCCTGTCGAGTCAGTTTCTTCAAATGTTGGGTGATCCCAGCTTATCTCAAAGTCTTACTTGTGAGGGGGCTTTGCTTTATGAGCAGATCGTATGTTTAAGTCTCATCATCTCCAATTAAAGGAATCATGTAGCAGTTGATGAGTGACCTCCTTCTCAGTCTCAGAACCTGATAGGGGTGTCTAA